TTGAGAAGCTCCCTGGAGAGAGATGGAATCCAGGAGGCGGGGCCCGGCTCTGCTCCCTTCGCTGCTGTGTCTCCAGCAGTTGGCACTGAGCCTGGTGTTCAGTGGGGCCTCGGGGAACACCTGCTGAGATGTGCAGCCTCTTCCAGAACAATCCCAGCACTTAGAAGCTTCCCCAGGAAGGCAGCTCATTTCTGTGTCGGTGAACTCTCATGGCGACTTCAGGTCTGGCTCCTCACAAGCCCAAATCTATCTTCCTTTCATCTTCACTCATTCGACCTAATTCTGCCTTCTTGAGTGACACAGATTCTGATTCCTTCCCAAAGGGATTGATCCTCAGCTATGGAGGTCAGCCAGGGTGGGTATTTATCTCCAGATGAAATCCAGGCAGGCTGAGCAATGGATGCACTTACCTCACCAAGTAACTGAAACCCCAGGAAACAAAACGATGGGCGAAGGGACCTGCTTAGGCCAGAGCGTCTGGACTCCATCTCCGGGGCATGCCATGTGAACTTGGGGCGCACAAACCTGGTTACGAGTCCCAGGTCTGACACAGCTGCCTGTACCCTTTTGCAGAGGAGGGACGGAGGGACTAACGTTGACCCAAGATTGCATCCACTGTCAAACTAGGTGAGAGTCATCCTTACATCCCAGGGGAGAAGAGGGCCACGTGGGAGAAACCCGAGCAGTGGGGCCCAGCGCTTTGCTGATGGTGTGTGTTCTTCAATCCCTGCTCCCCTTGAGGGGCGTCCCCTGTGCAACAAGCAGCTCCAGAATAATCACTGAGACTTTCACAGCTCCTAGGGGAAGCCCGTGGTCCCAGAGGGTATTCTCTGGAGCTGTGAGAAGTGCAAGTTCAGGAACAGTCTTTTTCAGCCCATTCAGGGCTGTGGAAATGTGCCCTTTTGTGTTGCATCATCTCCAGAGATGTTTTGTGATTCAGCACCCACCAGGCCTGGGGCGCCGGAGGGTGCGATTCTTTCAGGATGTTTAGTAAATGGTCCTGTGATACTACATGGTGCCCTTATGATAGCCACCCTGCCCTCAGGCATGCGTTGAATGATACCGTTGAAGCCTTTCTGTGTTAAAGCAGCTGATTACAATAAATATGAGGTTGGAAGGGCATCGTTGCTGTCTTTGCTGATGGTCAGGACAGCCCCTGGGAATAACACTTTAATACCCACCTGCCAGTGTAGGCACAGCTGATTTGATGGGCAGTCGTGACTGGCAATCTCTCTCTCTGCACCCGGGACCTGGGGGTGGGAGAAAGGCGACAGCTCTGGAAGCATCCCTACAACTACCTGCTCCTGGTGTTCACCTGCAGAGGTTGCCTATGGTGCGTCCACCTCCAACCCATTTCCACACACTCCACCAGTTCAGTGGGCTGGAATGGTGATTTTTAGATATTTGTTTTTCATTAAACAATCCATTCAGCCCTAGCTAGTTGGGCTCAGTGGAAAGAGCATCAGCCTGTGTACTGGGTTTGATTCTGGCCAAGGGCACACGCCTGGGTTACAGGCTCGATCCCCAGTAGGGGGCATGCAGGAGGCAGCCAATCAATGATTCTCTCTCATCATTGATATTTCTATCTCTTTCTCCCTCTCCCTTCCTTTCTGAAATCAATAAAATAAAAAATATCTTTTAAAAACCTAAATTTGATCCGCCATAAGGATTCCCCATTTCCCAGCACTTGAATGGGACGACATTAGAACAATAACCAACAAAGAAAGAAGAGAAACACCTTTAGTGGGACATCTACCGTGAGCCAGGCACCGCCTGTGTTATCTCATTTGATCCCCACCCCCTTTAGTCGGGGGAAGGCGATCATTTCTGTCCTCACCTCTGCAATAAGGACATTGAGGCTCAGGGAGGTTATATACCTGGGTCAGACCATATAGAACGGGGGCCAGAACCCTCTTTTGTTGGGATTAAACACCCTTTTTCTTATGGGCGACACTGCCTTCCTCCTACCTGGCCTGCGAATGCCCTTTGCACGCCTCATGTGCCACATGGGAGTGTCACCAATCCCTCTTCCTGGGCCTCACCTCTGACCCGCAGGAGTCCTGCTGGGAGCCCAAGCTGAGGGAGGAGGAAAAAGAGAAGGGGAGTCCCCAGGCTGGAGCCATCCGTCTGCTGGCTGGTGACAATGACACCAGGGCCCAGCAGAATAGCAAGCTTGTTCGCTCTTGTCTGGCTGTTAGTGGTGATGTATGAATAAGCAAAGAAGACAGCTTCATTTTCATAAGTTAACTTGCGCCTGGAGTAAGGAATCCGGGTAGCAGTGCACTTCATCATAACCGCAGGGCCGCGCGGAGAACAATGACAGAGCCTTTCCTGTTAGTCACGGTGCTTTGTTGTAATGATTCCCGAGAAGAGGAGATGATGGTGAGGATGCTGAGAGGCAGGGGGAGGGAGGCAGCTCACAGGAACCTGGGTCCTCTCCCCAAGAGGCTGCCTCTGGGCGGCTGTCAGACCCAGGGTGTGTCTGCATCATCCAGGTTGAGGTGTAGACACAGACCTCTGCACACTGGGTTGTGGCTGCCACGTGGCTGATGAGCTGGGATGTGGCGGAGCTGTGAGAGAGGACCTGTCCCATCTGCGCTGTAACTGGGGTGGGGGTGGGGGGCGGAAGGAGGACCGAGGGACTCTCCACCGAGACAGCACCATTATCAGAAAAGTTTTAGGGGAAACTTGGGAGTTAGGAAGTCTGTGTGAAGGGGAAGGGCAATTCAGGACGAGAGGTGATAGGTGACCGTGGCCAAGAGGCAGAATGGGCATCACCCACCTTCCCCCACGGACTCAGTCATCCAGGCCCTCCCCTCCTCAGGCCTCTCCATGTGTCTGTCACCGCAGGTATTGCTCAGCTTCATAATTGTTCATGTCTCTTCTTCCAGCTGCCTGCAGAGCAAGGGCTATATTTATTTGTCTGGATTCCTTAGTTATTTTGTGCCGTGTCTGACACAGCAAACTCCCAATCAATAGTCAACTGAACCAGTGAGGTGGCGTAGGGATCATGCCAGCTAAGGGAGGGAGGGGACAGCCGAGGCTGCCCAAGACTGAAGCCACGCAGACGGAGCAGGATATAAGCCGGGAATTCTGGGTGGGATGATAAGAGTCAGTACCTACTGAACATTTTACTGCTTTCTAGGCATTGTCAATGCCGATGTGCATATTGTCAGTGCCGATGTGCACATTCTGAGCACATGGCACCTTCATCATCCCCCCCCCAAAAAAAAATTGTAGCATCAACCCAGGGACACCAGGAATTATGAGCCAGCTCTTCAAGCACCCCACATTGCCTTGCCACAGCCTCTGGGCTCTCTGGTGAGGTCACAGCGTGAGGACCAGGCATCCAGCTCGCTCCGCTGAGGGCGCCGTGCCCTCCAGATCTGAGTGTTCTGCACCGGCCTCCCAGGCCCATTGTGTGTGGGATGGAGGGCTCTCGGCCTCCTGGATTGGTGCAGAGTGTTTCTGGGGGATCCTACAAGTTCTGAATATGAGCATGCAGAATGACAAAGTGGCTGATAGTATGTTTCCCTGCCTCTAATTTATGTATTTGTGCCGGGGTGTTGATTTAGATAGGAGCTCGATAAATTGATCAAATAAATTACAGCAAACCCACACGGCATCGTTTCAGGGAGCTGTCACCTCACTGAGGAGGCTCTCTATCACCCAGCGCTGTGTTCCGGGGGAGCCGCTGCTCTCCTACCAGAGTGGGGAGGGGTGTTCCATGCGATCAGGAAGGTCTTCATTCCTCAGGTTGGCCAACAGCTTAAGGATGTTAATTTCAGGAGGCCTTCGTTAGCTGTAGAAGACAGTGCTTATTAGACCTTCAGCCCTAATTTAGGCTTTCTAAGCCTCTGTTTCTCTTTTTATATGATGTGGATTTATGCCCTAGCCAGTTTGGCTCACTGGATTGAATGTCTGCCTACAGACTAAAAGGTTCAATTCTGGTCAAAGTCACATACCTCGGTTGCAGGCTGATCCCCAGCCCTGGTCAGGCCTTTGGGGGAGGCAGGGACAACCAACCCATATGTCTCTCTCACATCGATGTTTCTCTCTCTGACTCTCTCCCTTTCTTCCACGCTCTGTAAAAATCAATGAAAAAAAATATCCTCGGGTGAGGGTTACCAAAAGCAACAAAAATGATATGGATTTATAATTTCTGTTATAAACCTTGGGTGTCAGGCAAGTAGAGAAGTAGATGCCGGTTCCATCACTAACTGTTCAAACCTCGGCCCACGTGAGCCTCAGTTTCCGAGTCTGTAAAATGGTGTTGATTTTGAGAAAACATCTTGGCATGCACGATGAGGTGGTCCGTGGAAGGCAGTTGGGTCTGAGGCCTGAGGGACCCTACTTAAAAGACTCAGGAATTTGCTCTGGGGAAGAGAAGCACTTGTTCCTGCTTCAAACACTCCTGAGCTGATGCCACATCGGCATGAGGCTGGCGGACAGTGAGAGTAAAATCACGGTGAGAAGGTGGCCAAGAGGTGACTCTGCTCTGTGGGTCCTGTCTCACTTCTTCCTCTGATGTGAGGAAATGATCCCCACTCAGGCCCAGGCCAGCAAGTTAGTATAGAATGGGACACATTAGGACCGGAACACTTGCAGCATAGTATGTCGGTAACTATGTGTTGCAAGAGGTAAGGGATGGATGGATGCATGGATGCATGGATGGATGGATGGATGGATGGTGGATGGTCTGGGATTCTGGCTTTTTCACACATTAACTCTGTGGCCTTGGGCAACTTAACTAGCAACTCTGGGCAGCCTCCATTTTTCCTCCAAAAAAATGGGGATATGAAAAACCGATGGGCTGCCTGCGTGTGAGAATTCAATAGGTTAACACAAGTCAACAACTTAGGTCAGAGCCTGGCAGCTGATAAAAACTCCGAGTAATGAAAGCTCCTGCCATGATTTGCTGTCACTCTGCTTCCTGTTCAGCAGTCGCTGACCCACGGCTCGGCCTCTTTGAAGACCTTTGCGTTCTCTGTCCCTCACAGGCCAGCAGGTCCTGGGGTTGGTGGAGAACCAGAGCGACTGGTACCTGGGGAACCTGTGGAAGAATCACCGCCCTTGGCCGGCCCTTGGAAGAGGCTACAATACAGGTAGGTCATGAGGGGTGGGGTTACAAAGGGCGATGTGAGGACTCCTGCTCCCTCCTGGGGGAGAAGAGGTGAGCCACAGCACAAGTGAAGCCACCTGGTGGCCTGGGAGCCTTCCAGCCCTTTCTCAGTGCTGCCCCTAGAGGCCAAGTAGCTATGGGACCATAATGTCTGTGGGAGCCTCACCACAAAGCCCCTGACCTTCAGGGCAGATGCTGGGCCTTCATGAGGATGCCCTGTAGGTGCCTTGACTCCGTTGCTATAGACCAGAGAGCACTCTGCCGTGACCAGCCCAGCGTCTCAGTTTCTTCACACAACAGAACCCTCTCTTCCTCGCTCACGGCCATGTCCATGTTAAGTGGGTGGGACCGGTGCCACCGTCAGCATTCGGGGTTCACCTGGATGGGGGCTAGCTGGCACGGGGAGCAAAGTAGCAGGTGACCCATTGGCTCTGAAAGCCAATATCTGGTCATATGTGACGCGCTTTCTGCTGATATGTCGTTGGCTACAGTATGTCATGCGACCATGCCCACCTTCACAGGGTGTGCCCTGGCCACAGGCCCGGAGGAGGAAAGGCAGGAATATTAGGTAATGGGTGCCTAGGAACGCCACAGCCGTCACACACCATGTGTCTAAAATCAAGCCCATTCATCTCCCTTGTTGGTAGTCCCCAACTTGCATCTCATCTTCTCTTTCATCTTCTAATAGTATCATTCATTCTTTATCCACTTGCTGTCTGTTGAGTGTTTCCTGTGCACCAGGCTAGGACACAGCCTGGGACCTCATGGAGCATGTAATTCAGGAAGCCAGAGCAGCCCCTTCCTTGGCTCAGGTCCTGCCAGTGTCTGTCTTTGAAACACTCTGGATCCTTCTGCCTCTGTCCTCTTTGCCGCTGCTTTGGGTCCCTGTTCTCAGAGAAGGCAGATCCAGGACCTGTGCCAGGACTAGAACTTGGAGCCCAGGGACAAGTCGGGTGGGGCAGGCCAGCTGGGGCCTGGCCTCTGAGACCAGCTGTCCTGGGTTGGAACCAGTGGTCGGGGATGTTGCCACCTGGAGGTGATGGGTGAAACTGTCCTGCAGGCTATAATCGGGAGGACCAAAGAGGTCATTCTGAGAACCCAGGGTCCAACTCTAGAGAGATCAAACACAGGATCCCAGAGGCCAAAGGAAAAAGGAGGAGAATCAAGCTTCCAGAGGCGAGAGGTCAGAGATGGAGTCAGAGTCGGGGTCAACGCGAGACTAGGGCGAGGAAAGAAAGGTCCAGAGCCCATGTCCTAATCAGCAGAGGTGGCAGTTAGGGAGCCCTGTTAGAAGGCCATCCTTCCATGTGGGGGGGTGTGCCTTTGCTGACATTTGCCACAATAACCACGCACGCCTTCCTGTCTCATTTTCCCCTAACACCTCCCAGGCGTTAGTGTTAGCCTGAATTTTCACCACCTGCCTTTCCTCTACCTTCTGAAGATCCCCATGCTGTGCCGGGTTAACCCTGGAGTCGCAGGGGGGTGAGGAATTCTGGGGAGTCCCTGAGAGGAGTGGAGGTGGGAGGGGACCCACGAGGCTCAGAGTAGTGGCTCCCTGTAGCCAGTGTGGGAGGACTGCAGTCCTTTGTTAATGGTGAGGGCAGTGCCCAGCACACCAGCTGGGCCCCGGCCAGGCACGGTGCCAGGTGCTTCCTAGGTGTTAATCTCATTTGATCTGCACACTCACCCCAGGAGGCAGGTGCTATTCTTATCTCTATCTCATGAGCTGCAAGCAAAAGCTCAGACAGTGGACAGATAAGTAAGGGGCCTGCGGTGTTAATGATGAGCTAAAACTTCCCAGCATGAACTTATGTGGTTTCCGGGTCAAGAATCCTTTTTGAAGATGCAGAATCCTCCACTCTGCCCTTGAAGGGTCTCGCCGGGGCTTGGCAAGGAACCTGCCCTGGGAGAAGCATCCAGGAGGTTTTCAGAGCAGAAGGTCCAGGAATCTGCTCCATCTTGCCTTCCAGCCAGTCCTCCCAAAGCCTCTCTGCTCGGTGCACCACGCTGGACCTTTTAGGCACCACGGTGGTCAAGTTGCCAAACTCCAGTGTCTCTTTTTGAGTGTGAGCCTCTGACCTGGACATTGTCAAATGGTCAGGGGTCTGAGCCTCCTTCTGGACAGTGGTGCCACTTTTCTGAATCAGAGCGCCTGTTTGTAACGTCAGCGTTCAGGCCCTCACCCAGAGAGCGTGGATCTGAACTTCAAGTGATGAGGCCAGGCAGCTGTTCTGTTAAACACATCCCCTCCATAGCTCCTATGCGTGCGAAAGTGTAGACTTTTATTGCCGTTTGCACATCAAGTTCCAATTGGACTTGAGTTCAACTGAAAAGCCCCATGAATGACGATTTGGCCAAAGGGTCCCCATTCTGGACGTCGGTAGGTGATTTATTGCGCCTGAAGCACAGGCTTTCTATTTATCTCTGGTGAGTTTTATCTGATTCAGGCCAATCTTTGCATCATTTTATTTGACCCCATTTTAGTTCTCTGCTCAGGGTCATGCACAAAAATAACGAAAATGCCTTGTTTATCCAGTGGCCATGTCCCGTTTTTGTAACATGTTTTGAACGCCTCTTTTACAATCCTGGGATAAAATACATAGATGACCTGTATTATTACATTATCTATATATATAATTTTCAAAAAAATCAATCTAGTGGCCTGACTATAATATAAAGAAGAAATTAAAGGAAATTAATCTATATATATATAAAAGGCTAATATGCAGAATGTCCCCTCAGGAGTTCAACTGGGAGACCAGGTAGTCAATCACTCACTACAATGTGTGCTGACCCCCAGGGGGCGGCACCGAACAAAGGAAGGCCCTGGCTGGCAGCTGAAAGGCTCTGACCAGCCCTGATTGCTGGCCAGGCCAGGCCTCTAGTCTATACTAATAATAGAAGAATGTGCAAATTGTCTCGGACACTATCATAGTAACAGTAATGACCAAACATCAGACTGCATGGGTGACAAGGCTAGGAGGGGGTTAGTGGGAGACAACCAAACAACTGAACAGCAGGCTGTGGGGGTGACCAGGCTGGCAGAGGGGTTAGAGGGATGAACAAATGACTGAATAGCAGGCTGCATGGGGCAAACCAGGCTGGGAGGCATTTAGTGAGGGATGACCAAATGACTGAACATCAGGCTACCTGTGGTGATCAGGCCAGAGCAGGGAGACAGTTGGAGGCAACCAGGCCAACGGGGGGGGTCAGTTGGGGACAACCAGGCAGGGGGTGGGGAGGGGTAGTTAGGGGTTTTCAGGCTGGGGGGGGAGGTCGACGACAGTTAGGGTTGGTCAGGCAGGCAGGCAGGTGAGCAGTTAGGAGCCAGCAGTCCCAGATTGTGAGAGGGATGTCCTGGATTGGAGAGGGTGAGGACTGGACTGAGGGACCCATACCCCATGCATGAATTTCATGTACCGGGACTCTAGTTTACTACCCTATATAATAAAAGAGAAACATGTAAATTAACCATACCTCCACTATACTAACCAGCCAATCAGGATGAGTTTGCAAATTAACCTGACAAAGATGGCAGGTTAATTTGCATACACAGGCACCAGGCAGAGAGCAGAGCGAGAGAGCCATTGGAGAGTGAAACAACTTGGGGAATTTGGCTCCCCAAGCCCCCAGATGGAGAGCAGAGAGGGATAGCTGGCGGCTAGGAGGACTTGGCAGAGTGGGAGGCCTTGGGATGGAGACAGAGCAGGAAGGGAAAAACCAAGTTCGAGAGAAGCACAAGGAATTCTGGGAATAGTAGTTCCAGTGGCAGATGGATCTCCTAGACACCAGAGCAAAGTGAGCCTGGAGCAAGTTATTGTTGCAGTGGGAGATGGAAGGAAAGCAAAGGTGAGAGACAAGTAAAATCGGAGTGTCTAGGAAAAATTAAAGGGTAAATATCCTAAAACTTCCAGGAAATCTCCACCAATGAAGCAAAGAAAAAAACAGAAGAAAAAAAAAGCCTCTATTATTCTGTGAGTAACAAACCAAACTGGGTTGGGGTCTCAGACAATTCACTCATATGATTGCAAAGACAAACAGAAATTCCTGGACTGGAGAGGGCTCCCCTAAAGACTCCAGATTGGAGAGGGTGCAGGTCAGGCTGAGGGACCCACCCCTCATGCACAAATCTACATGCACTGGGCTCCTAGTAAAATAATATTGACTTCAGCGTATAATTGCTCAGGCTTGGCACCTGTAGGAGACCTAGTGAGGTGGTCAGAGACAGCCATGTTGATATTTGAGATAGACTACATTAATATATTTTTACAACAATCGATATCCATATTTTTTTGTAAAAGAATAAATAGTCTGGAAATGCAGTGAACGTTCAGGAGCCGTGGTTTGTGAGAGTCTATTTTTAAATTCTCAGGAAATGTGAGATCTGATTATGAAGCACGGCAACTATTAAAAGTCAAATTATATAAACTTACCAGTAAATGATTTTAAAAACAAAGTTAATAAATTATTAACAATTTTGCAGAAGTAATGAGTGATAATTATTAACACTCATTACTTCCTAGTCATATTACTATTATCAGTACTTTTAAGGTTATTACATCTGCTGTATCTGTATGGTGGGAATTCTGTGGAATGATGAGCTACTGCACATCTCTCCCAGCTCCGTTCAGTGACACTGCATTAGTAGCTTAAAATCTGCCATGGTGGGAGTATTTACACCATGGAAATTGGCAGACACTATAAATCAGGGCTTTTCTTTCTTTCTTTTCAGAAATCCAATTTTTAAACATTCACCAGCATACCACTGAAATATAACAATATATGAGATCGCCTCTCCCATCACTTTCTCCAGTTTGCAGTATATTCTTGACTTTCCTTTTTCCACATATGTAATTATATGTTTCTCACTATATATGCATCTCCTTTTTCATTGTCACATGTGCTTTTTACTTCAAAACAAAATGTTAGGTATCTCTCTACATTGGTACATAAGGTTGTATTTTCTTCTTTCTTTTTAAGGAC